ACCCCAACAAAAGTAGTGGCATATTGCCCCAAGACGTCATTTCATCTTATGATGAGCCTGTACAGTACGACTGTTAAGAAAATAAATCAACGATGTACTGAATATTTTCATTTTAACCTACTCTAATAGATTAACAAGCTAATCGAGCTAAATATTGCATAATGTTTATATAAATAATAACTTACATAAAATCACTATAAAAGTTATAAGAAGCACATTTTCGTATACCATGCCGTCATATTTACCTCATAAAAACACTGTTGCGAGGAAACTCTTGATACTTATGCAACACGATACTTATGCACACAATTATACATAATTCTGTGTCATTAACGCAAGCGCTGCTAATCGGTATCATAATTGTTAAACACAACGAGTGGCATATTCTCCCAACTGGTGTATTCCCCCGACTTACCTTATATTTCACGAACATATTTCATGCGATGTATTCGTTTAGAATTGAAATACGATGGAGAAGAGGATTTATAATTGTTTTACAATAGTTATGGACGATAATTATTTTTCGTTAAGATAAAATTTTTCTTTTGTTTGAATATGTAACTATCTATTATACGAAACGTATAATGTACATAATATAATGAACGAGCAATGTTAATCCTCTCTTGCTATACACAATGGAGTTCCAGAAACCGCAATGCAATTTGCTAAATCGAAATTTTTTCGTGTTTCTGAACTTTTCTTTTTCTTTGAATCTAATATATCTCGAAACTCGTTAATTCTATTGACTTTTATACATCATGGACACTTATTCCTTAATCAATTCTCTATCGTTTGATGAAAAAATTAATTGAAATACGTTATGTCTATTTTTACGGAAGTTACGGTAATAAATATGGATGGAGTCCGCAGAGACTCGAGTGTGTATATCAATGGTAGAAAAAAGTGTGTATAGCAAGAGTTAATAAATATCTTTATGAAAATAACGCAATTCGTACAGTTTGCAAATAATTTCTCGTTTTTGTACATTTTTCGCGAGTGCGTAAACGACGAAATCAAGCATAACTTTATTGTGATTGTCTACCGGCTATGATAACAAATCAATAATAGAAGGATTATTTTTCTTTTTTACTAATAACTGGCTTACTCGATTGATACCTTAATCTTACAGACATTATAATAAAAGATTCATTTTTTTCTACTTATTTGTCCTGAATTTGTTTCACAATGGTAATGAACTAACATGTGTTCGATGTTCATATTTAAAAGTAAATCGATAACATTATATATATATTTTTTATGATATCTTCCCTCCTATGGGTTCGACCTTGATAAGATAGGAGGGCTCAGTACCTCGAGGAAATACACGAAAAGAATGGCTTTTCTTAAGTGTCTAAAAATTTTCGGATCTATCTAAATTATGTATCTAATTAAATTTTGAGATACTTAAACAAAATTGTTCTCTTTGTATAAAAATTTAATAACGGGGAAGCTAACGTACCCTCGTCGCCGATTTAAGTGAAAATGAACGAACCACAGCCGGTTTGTCGCGTCGCGCGTTTGCATCGGTGCCGTTAAAATTCTCGGACTAATAGACTTTTTACGACTCTCATCCCATCATGGGTTTAATAACGTGGAGTGCCGTAGTATCGCGCGAAAGACTTTATTAATGATTAGTCCGCGCGCGGTTGTAGTATATTATCCGCGAGTGTTTTTCACGAATGTCCTGTGCGAGAGTGACAATCCAATCCTAAGAGGAGGAGGTGATCTGAGAGAAACATCAGGCATCGACGGAACAACCTTGGGGTGAGTATTATTTCTTATTTGCATTCAAATAACAGTTCTTTCCCATTTATTCAAGCTTCTTTTTTACAATCTTGATAAGTTAATAATTAAAAAAAGAGAAATCATTTCAAAATTTTATGAAAGTTTATTCTTGCTTCAAAGATTTTTTCGGAAAATACATAATTATATTCTACACTCATTCCTCAATTTTCGCGATACTTTTTATACGTAGTTTTTTTACGCGGTAAATAATCTCTTTTTTTGCACGGTATTTTTTTTCTAAACTTTCACTATTTGTGTTTTTGTACAAATATGTAAAATAAATATTTTTATGACATACACTGGTATTTTGATTATGTTTTTTTTATTGGCGGACTCCATTTATGCGATTCTCAATTCCGTAAAAAAATTATGTGGAACATACTCCAGGTAAATCGACAAGTGTTTGTAATAAAATATGTAATTGTGAAAACTGGATAAAAAGTTTGAATTAAGCGCGTAAAAATTATAAAGTAGGCACGGCAGTGTCGCTACGCTTTGGCTTAGCGCCGAGACACTATACCAGTGTCTCCAAATCTTTTGAAATGTTGATCATTTTGAGTATGTCTTTAATTAGGATCTTATGTTTGTGTGTTACAGCATCATCATAGATAGCTGGCTAAATAATTCCGCTCGTTGTGCATCGAATTGCCCTTACGGAAAGAGACACTGAAAATTTCGAAAAAACACTGAAAATTAAGTGTTAACACTCAACTTTGAGTGTTAACACCTAATTTTCAGGTGTTAATACTCAAAGTTGAGTGTTAACACTTAATTTTCAGTGTTTTTTCGAAATTTTCAGTGTCGCTTTCCATAAGAGTGGTGAGTCAGAAATTTTTTGATTGAAGTAATGGATCTACGATTAATTGTGTCAAATATAGATCAAATATATTTCAGCGCATGTCGAATAGCAACAATAAATTATTGTGAAAAAATATATCTCGTAAATTTATTGTCTTAAAATGAATGGGCTAAAACCGATTATTAAAAAAAAAAAGCGTAAAGAATATAGATAGACAGAGATCTATGAGTTACCATAATATCATTTGTGACTGGAAAGGGGAAGTGAAAATTGAATTAAATTAAAAATGCTTATTTTAAACTTTAATTAAGAAAGAATTACTACATTTTGATTAATAATATTTAATGTTATCAAAAATAATTTTAATTATTATAAATTATGAAATATAGCAACCAAAAGATACAATATTATACAATATTTATAAGGATTATTAAATATCATATATAAAGAGTATTGTAATAAGTATTACATTATTGATGTGTTATATACACATTGTATATGTATATATTTTTTGGAGCTTTCAATCTCATTCTTTACCGCTTAATTATTTACGAAAAGTCCTTTAAACCAATAAAGCATCGATTTTACTAGTTCGGTTCTTTTATTTTCAACGTAATTCGCATTTCGTTGATATCTATACGGCTTTCCAATATTTTCTCTAAAATTTTCTGAAACATTGTAGTTATTGTTAATTAATTTTGTTGCTTTAAGCTTCCTATTTTTCTTTTCGCGAAAAATCTTATTTCCTAAAACAAAGTTATCTTTTTACATATTTCTTATCTTTTTATCAAATTATATTAATTACCTTCTGTAGTATTCAATAATTTGTCCGATTTTTCTTCTTCTTTGCTCATTTTTGATTCTTCGGAAATATTAATTTCTTTAAGAACAGGGTTCCCTTGATTTTCAGAATTTATCTTCTGTGCAGTATTCATATTTTGAACATTGTTTGTATTTTCAACTTCAGGTAGCTTTAATTCTTGAGCTATTTTCGACTGATTCTTTTCTGTATCTGCCTTTTGTATTTCAAATTCTTCAGAATTCTTTCTCAAATTAAAAAGTTTTTTAGTACTTGGAGATACTGGGAAATTCATATTCGGAGTATTCTTTTTCTTGCGAGAATTTATCAAATCTGAAAACTCATCAATTGCGTCGTTATTTTCATACAATAATCCGTTTTCATCCAATAATCCATTTTTTTTTATATTGTTATTATTATTAACATTCTTTTCGTCTGATTGACGTTTAAATCCTTCTACGGAGTTTACTATTGACTTATTATAATTTAGTATTTTGTTTTGCAATTCGGTTTTATTTAATAATACTCTTTCTTCATTGAAATCAAGCAATAAATTGTATTTTTTTGCGAAATCGATGACAGGCATTGAAATCATTGCGAAATTATCATCATTTGGTTTCCATAAATGGTGCTCGTTAATTCTTTCTTTTTCTTCTTCTTCTTTTTTTAAATTTTGTGTTCTCAAGGCGTTTCTTCTCGTCACTGTATTAAATGGTTGAAATGGAAAACTATTACTTCCTAATATATTTTCTTGATCTTTCTTTTCCATATTTGTTGTCATCGCATGTATATCTTCTTGTTGGTGATTTTTTAATGATCGAATTATATGTCCTTGCAGCGGCACGCAGCAGGGACATTTTCTTGTTAGAATCTGCTCGCACACATTTTTGGAGATCAATAATGCATAAGAACCATCTTCCAATGTCTTTATTTCTAGCGGTAGTTTCACGCCATCATTGATGTAATAAAGTTGTGATTTCTGAAGTTCTGAGATATCATCGGAAGCAATTGATGAAGGAAATAACTGAGCAGAGTAGATATCGTTTAAGGCAGACGATTTAGACGAAGAAACGATAACTTTTTTTGCTTTTATGATATCTTCATTATTATACATCTTGTTAATTAAATTGTTATTATCGTTATCGCTATTGCCATTACTGTTCTCATTATCATTATTTATATGTATATTTGTAGTTTTACCAGTTAATGAGGGCGAATTAGTTCTTGAACCATCATCACCAGAAAGTCCTGCCTTGAAGTACGTAGTTTTTGCGTAAGTTCTTTGAATCTCCGTAGTAACTTCTTGGATTTTAATGATATTATTTTCTGTCAAATTCTGCTGTTGCGATTCTAAAATATTATCTGTTAAAGAAATAATTATAGGTCTATATTCTCCATTTGTGGACGAAATTAGATTACCATCTGTAGTAGTTAGACATTCCATTTCGTTTTCGTCTTTAGTTTCTGCTGTATTTTGTAAAGGCATGTCGTCCTGTGCATAATTGGATGAAGGTTTTTGTATAAAGTTCATGGGCGCTGTTGTAATTTCAACATTTTTATCATCGATACGATTTGTTGCATATTTTAAAGTCTCAGGTGAATAATATTTTATTGGTGGCAAATTAAACTTAATTCTTTCTAATATTATTAGTGGATCAATCTTATCAGTTGTAGTAGTCAATGTGTTTTCACTCGTATGATTTACTTCTTCTTCGGCATCTTTAGCTCCTACTATATTTTCTAAAATTTTGTTATCCGATATGTAATTGGGTGTTTCTTGTGAAGAATTTGTTATCGTTATTGTTTCTTTATTACTTTCTTTATCGATGGGATGATTTTTTATGTATTGTCCAGTTTCTGTTGAATTTGGTTCTAATACGCTAAGATTATTTTGTAAAATAGCTTTGTGATAAATTATTTTGGGTTTCAGTGATTCAGCTATTTTCTTTTCTGCATCATCTTGTCCATCTACCTTCTTTAAAATTTGATTTCTAATGTCTTCTTTTATTTTATCTTCATTTGTTGATTCTTCTTTTTCTTTTTTCTCATATAAATGTAATAATTGCGGAAATTCAGAAATAGTCAATATATTTGCATTATTTTCTAATGTCTTAGCTTTCTGATTGTCTGCGGTATGTATTTTTTTATTGTCTATTTTTGTATCTTGTTTTTTCACATCAATATTCTGTTTGCTATTTAATATTGAATTATCAATATTGTTTTCTATTTCGTAATTACTTGTTGGTATTTCTTGCATATTAGTCATATCCATATCTACCTCGTCACTAATAATTTCGTTACTTTCTTCTAACGTATCAATATCTTCTGAATTTTTTGACATCTGGAGAATGTCATTTAGTGCATGAATTATCAAATCATCTATTTTATCATCTTTATCGTTAGATAAATTATTTTTCACGCTTTGTACGATTATATTCCGCACAATATTCTGGTCTATTTGCGATGCAATTGCCGGAGAGTTTAAAAGCTCTTTGATAATCTCACGCAAATTTTTCGGTGTTGCTACCGATAACTTTTGGTCCAAAATTGGTGCTAAGGTCACTAAATTGGTCTCCCATTGTCCATCTTTAAATTGATGCTCTTCGAGCATCATCGGTGGAAGTTTGTGATGAAAACCAGAAAGTGTATCCAATATGCTGTGTAGAGTGTTTTTAATTACACCATGTGACCAATCGTTTGTGAAATCTTTTCTAGGAATAGCTGTAACGTAGGATAAAACATCTTTTACTTTGTCTACGATTGTATTTTCTATTTGCGGCATCGACAAGATGTCCTTTAGATTCGGAACTTGCAGAATTTCTGGCAGTAAATTTTTACCTTGCGTTTGAAGAATATTTTCATCAAAATCTTTTGTTTTGGTTAAACGAGTATTCGACGTAAAGTCATTAATGACCTTCCTGATAGAATTTAAAAGCAAAGTATTATCACAAAATGGTAATTTATTTGTTGATGAATCGATCGTTTTGATATTATTGGTGGTACTTTCCTTATTGTTTGAATTACTTAATTTTTTGTCGTTAAAATATTGCATTGTCGTAGATTGTTCTTGAGGAATCTCTTCTGGTTTGATGCTGGTTTCTATTCCTATTATTTCTTTTTTTATTTCCTCTTCAAAATTATCTCTAGTGTTGGAATTAGAGCTAGTTGTAGTCTCTTCTTCAAAATGTTCTTGAGGGATTTTCTTTTTAGAATAAATATTCGCATTTGATTCTTTTAGGTAGTTTCTATCTTGCTTTTTAGGATCGGGTTTAAAGTCGTAACTAATAACTGTTGTTGTCTCTTCTTGAGAAGTATTTAAATTAGATTTTATATTTGTTACCTGATTCTGTTGATTAATTTTCAAATTATTTGCTTCTTCATCACTGTTATTAGATTTATATAAAGGAGTAAAATAAAGAAATTTCTCACTTGATGTTGGATTTACTATTTCCTCATCATTTGGATTTAACAATAATTTAGTTTTATGATTTTTACTTTTTCCTAATAATTTTCTTTTTCCCGTCGTCGTAATTTCATCAATTGTCGGATCCATCAATTTCTTAATTGAAGTATGTATATTTTTTATAGTATTAAATGGTGTATTTTTATCATAGTCGATATCTGACTTAGAAATCTGTTTCGTAGATTCTGGATGAAATTCACGCAGAGAAGCTTCGTCAATATCAGCATTTGATTTTATACTTGTTGATTCAAGATATTCATTCACATTAACATTTGACTTATTGATTTCATTAGTGGATGATTCCGATGCAAAGTACGGATCAGTCGCTTTGAGTTTATTTGAATGATTGATGTCATCTCTAGGGGATATTTGTGTGACATATTCCGGAATTCTAATCGCAGAATACTTGTTGGGATTATTTTCTTGCGCCTGTTTAGCAAATATTTTTGGTGATACTGCACTGAGTACGCACACATCGCGACCAAATAGTTTTATGCATTCTTCCATGTTTATAAATTTTCCATCATTCGTTATATCATAGGTACCGAATGGTACGCTGCTTGTTTCAACATCATCTGCCGAATATGCCCTTGACTTAGGAAGATCATCTAGATTTCTTTCTATTTGTTCGGTAAAATCGTTTGATTTCTGCACAACTCTATTTAAATTAGAAGGACTTATAGTGTCATCTTCTTCCGTTGCATCAGTCAAATAATCAAAGTTTAAATTAGTTTCTGTTTTTGAATCGGCTGATACATCTACATTTGAAACTTCTGTGGTTAATTTAGGAGAATGTTCTTGATCTTCTTCAGTGACACCAATTGGATTGTTTGACTCGAAATCATTTGTTGTTTCCCTACTAGTTATCGCATCAACATAATCTGTCGAAGGTGAATTAGTAACTGACATGGAACTTTCAACCGAATTGGTTATTACAGGTGAGCAAATGCACGGTCTGTTATGAATAACCGGTTGATTTCGATTATTTTCAACTAAATAATTTTGCCTGTCCTGAAATGAAATTAAAGGGATTCCGATATCAACATATTTTCCTTCATTTCCAACCATATGAGATAAAACATTTGGTGTTATTCCATATAGAATTGGTACTGACGGGATGTTCATTTTTTTTGGATAAGATTGTATTGGGAAATAATTGATTAAATTAGAAAAGGGCAATTCATAAGGATTTTCATGATATAATTTTGGCGATTGTTGTTGTAAGATATTTGCGTTCGCGTTTTCATGTTTTATTAGTCTCCTTTGATGATTTATCCTTTCAGGTTCGTCTTTGGAGGAATCTAATATTTTTGAAGAACTTTCTTTTGATGAGCTAGAAGAACAGTCCTCTTCGCAACGGCAAATATATTTTTCTGTATTACATTTCTTTGTCTTTTCTGGAAATTTCAAATTTATAGTTATATCCTTCGCATTTAGATTGTCGTTAAACGGTCGTGGAAGAGTTTTATCTTCATTTGTAACAGCTACCATTCTTTTTGATGTTGCTGAGTTTTTCTGAGAATATTTTGTGTTTTTTGTAGTATGGTCATCTGAATTTTGCTGGAAGGTTCCCACATTGATATTTTTGTTAGCGGTTCTCGTTCTATTATTATTTTCTTTTGTTGATAATAACAAAAATCTATTTCTCCGATGTGTATCGCAACGCTTTGTTTTTTGAACCATTTCCTTTGACTTTTTATGTTCATTTTGTGTTTGTCGAACTGGCATTAATAAAATAAGTGATCTTTTTGAATTATCTTTTATAAGATGTTCGTCATTAAATAATGATGGATAAGGTAGAATTGTCGATAATCTAAAAATAATAAAATATTTGTTTAGAAAGACTTGTTAATTTATTTAACATGTTTATTACACACATATATACACACTACCGTTTAAAAGTTTGGAAGCAGTTGAAAATTTGTAAAAAAAATACAATAAAATTATATTAATTATCAAACTTTTATTATATACTATATATATATATATATATATATACGAAAATTCTAATTTATTAAAATATCTATGTTTTATTTTTAATTACTGTTCGAATTCGAAGCATTTTACTTATTCATTTTTAGTGATAATTATTAGAATGCGATTGAATTATATTGTGATTGATAAACAAATAATAAACATGTAAATAAACAATTATATTTTACTCAAACCACGAAAGTTTATTCTTTCTGTACAACAGAACAACAGCGTCTCAAGCAGAACACAAATCATCATGACATTAGAATGACGTTTGTCTCGCCAAATGGCTCCAAAATTATTATTAATAAACAAAAATCATTTTTCAATCAGTTACAATCCATTCTAACATCATTTTAACATTATCGTGACTTGTTGTTCTACTGAAATAGCATATACATTCGGTAAAATTCACGTCTTATAAATCAGCAGAATAAAGTGAGCAAAATCAGTTCTAATTAATATTTGTTAATTAGAATTTTTTTACTTGTTCATCTGTTGCTAAAAAATTGCCAAAAAAATTGTTGCTCTATCAATTTTCTTAAAAGATGATGTTCTGCTAAAGGAGTATTAAGTTTTTAAGAAAATTTGCAGAGCAATACATTTTTTTCCTTGACAACTTTTTAGCAATAAATAAAAATGTTAATTACAATTGATTTTGCTCACTTTGTTTTGCTAACTTATAAGACTAATTTGTAAAATTCTTTAAATGAAATATTTCCTGGAACATGATTAGATAAAATAATAATTTGTCGAATACTTAAAACAAATAGTTAAGTTTTTCATATTGGATTTTTCTGTAGAAGTATTGACACTACTTTTTTTTATAGAGAAAATACTGCTTCCAAACTTTTGAACGATAATTTATATAAGATTTATTAGCATTGCTTGACATCTCTAAACGTTTTGTATTTAAAACAAAGTAAATACACTGCTCAAAAAATTATGGCATAGAAAAATTGTGGGCAAAAATTGGCCAACTTTAACTTTGCGAAAAACTATCGTAGGATAACGTTTTTTTTTAAATTAAGGTTTGAAATCTTTATTTTAAGACGCTATGGCCAGATTTTAAGTTTGATGCACCACTGTAACTCTAAAAAATATATATGAGGGTGTATTTGTCATATTGGAAATTGCAAACGGAATGAACGGACTTTGTAAAATTTTTTTGCAGAATGCCGTTTGTAGCGGCATAAAGTTCGAACTTTCCTCTTTAATTTAAAAGAAAAAATAAGTCACTGTGATTTTTTTTCGCAAAGTTACAGCATTTTAAAATTATCCTTACATTTTTTACATATATTACCGGTATTACTTGCATTACCGGATATGCACTACGATGAGATTGCTGGATGGATTTTGCACGTTTTTGCGTGTATGTAGATTTATACTTGATAATGAGACATAGATTAAGAGATTTAGCAAGACAACCTGTCAATCTCAGAGACTTATCACAAGCTCTAGTACAAATCTGGAATGACATTCCGCAGGAAGAAATTAAGGCCTGCATTAATATGAGGAATCGACTGCAAGTAATCGAGCAACGCGGAGGCAACACGCGTTATTGAAATTTACACGCAGAAATACGATGTGCAAAAATGCAAGGGTAACTTTAAAGTGCTGTAACTTTGCGAAAAAAAATCGTAGCGACTTATTCTTTTTTTTAATTAAAGGGGAAAGTTCGTACTTTATACCGATGCAAACGTCATTCTCCAAAAAAATTTTAAAAGTCTGTGCATTCCGTCAAACTTTGCAATTTTTAATATGACAAATACATCCTCATATTTTTGAGGATTACAATAGCAGGGGTGTATCAAACTTAAAATCTGGCCATAGCATCTTAAAATAGAAATTTTAAGCTTTAATTTAAAAAAAAACGTTATCCTACGATAACTTTTTGCAAAATTATCATTAATCAAAGTTGGCCAATTTTTGCCCACAATTTTTCTATGCCATAATTTTTTTGAGCAGTGTATATTCAGACATTAAAAAAAAACGGTTATTTAAGTTCAAAAAATGTACGCAACGCGAACAGATATAAATATTGACAATTATAATATATTATCTATAAGTATTTGACAATTATATACCTAAATTAGATGATAATAAAAGACATCAATAAAATTGATAACAATTTTAATTGTTTGGGTAATTTATTTAAATCATGTACCAAATTTTATTTTTTAATTTAGTCGTACATGGGACATTATTTTTCATTTATATATAAGCAATATTTTTTTTATTTTACATTATTTTTCTATATCTTATATTGATATTATGAGGCAATGAGACAATTCTAGATCGAAAATTTCCAATTCAGCAGTTTGTTGTGACGAAGCAGATTATTGTGTGTATGACACATAATATGATAATGACATTAATGATTTTGCTGACAAACAATTATGCAAGTACGACTAACATACTTTTACGTCTGCAATTTGAAAAATTGAACTACTTTTGTATAAAATTGGATTAAAAGAATCAGAATTTTTCTTATTTAAACTTTAATTTTTAGTGCATACAATGATATTCCAATTTTTCCTTTTTAGATCATTTTTGTCCCGGGTTAATTTTCATTATTTTTACGAGTATACAAAAATTATTAAGTGATTCTTACGTATACTTTGACATCTTTAAAAAGTATTCATAAAGAATTGCATATTAAAAACAAAGGAAACAGATATAGATCATTATTTGGCCTAATACTCCTAGTATTAAAAAAAAATGAGAAAAGAATAGACACTAATGATTTGATCATGTATATTAAGGGTTAATTAATTAATAAAGTAACAAATTTTATTTACCTTGAATTTAATAAATCTGCAGTTTCTACATTTTTAGCAGTAGATACTTCTTCCGAGCGAGCAATTACCAATACAGTCAAAAGGCACAAAGTAATTTTCTCATACATATTGATCAGTTTCTTTTCAACTATCGGATATTATCACGTTCCTTGATTGTAAACACAAAAATTTTTATTGTACAAAAAAATAATACTGTTACAATAATATTTATATAATATTAAATAAATTATAATATAATTTTGGAATTATATATACATTATGTAACAACCGAAAAATTAAAGTTAAAATAATGTAGATCAATAGTTATTAAGATAATTCAAATTATATTAATAAATATATGAAATAACAGCTGCATTAAGAGAAATAATAAATATGCTATATATATATATATATATAAATTAAATTTTGTCATATAGAGATTAAATAAGTTAAATAAAATATTAGTTGACACACTTATTAAATAGTTGATTAATTTTATAATTTTAAAATTAGGTTAAATAAACTGAAAGATGTAAACAATATATATATGTAAATATACGGCAAAATTTACTTTATACTGACGTCTCCAAAAACGAACTGAGCTCGATCATGATCAAAAGCGCACTGTATCATACAGTGATTCGATGAATGTACAATGACATTCTATCATCACATCGTTACGAAATTTAACTCGTTAATTATGTCGCAATATGCATCGTATGTGTCTGAACAACTTTTGATTCAATCATTAGTGACCTGATTTTCTTAAAAATTGCTGCTTATAGTTATAATATTTCTCGCAATTCTACGAATATGAATGATATCCTTTAACACAATTATAATATAATTGCAAAATGTATCTGCATTAAAAAAAATAATTATATCAGGATCTTATAGTTAAATCTATAATTAATTAACTTATTAAATAGTAACCTTGAAATAATTTACAGCCTTAAAATACAAAGTTTGATAATTTATTTTAATTGTTAAGAATAATATCATTTATTGCGATTTAATGCATTCTTAATTTCTATATTTACTATCTTACTGATTTATTTAATTATAATAAATAATACATATCTATTATAAAATTAAATTATATCATGCTAAATATGCAGTATTACATAAGATGTACCTTTTTCAGGTTTTGGTAACATATTGTTACATCCCGATAAAATCCTCTCTTTCGTTATTATAAATATATGATTTATATCTTATTTTTAGCTTATCTCTAGATTAGTATTTCGTCTTGGTCTTGATATTTCGTCCCTATTTTATCTTTATTTCGAAACCGAAAATTCCTTTTCTCTTTTATAGAGGGATATATTTAGTTCCTTTATTTAACCCTTAGCGGCCACACGGGGTGACTTTGTACCCCAAGGCTTAGGAAAAGTGAAATTAGAGGTCTAAAACATTTGAAATTGATACAAGTATCGACATCTGTCACCAGTAGACACGTGTGAGATGTGACTCCATTACATAGGAAATCGCCGAAAAATCGCATGGTGGCGCTTTGAGCGTTCGTTTTCTCGACGTTTTCATTTTCCCCTCATAACCGTAATTTTGCAAAATAAATATACTTTTTGAAAGATCGGCGTATACTGTTATTTTTTTATGGTAGTGGTGTATCTTGTGCGTACAATCCTAAAATTTTAGCCCTTAATATTGAAAAATGGCGGAGTAATGAATTTTTTTCTGAAAAAAGTCATTTTTGCCGAATTTTCACATATATGACCAGTTTTTAGAGCGCCATCTATAAATTGACTAATATAAATCATTAGAAATGTTGAAGAACTGTTCAACAAACATGAAACAATCGATTAGAAATCTTAAAATATCCATATATCTTGTACAACTAATTTTTTTAGCTATGTACCCCGGTGTGGCCGCGATGTGGCCGGGCTGAGGTGTGGCCGCTAAGGGTTAAACATTCAAACCAACAGATAGATCACGTTATGTACCTTTATGCGTCACACAGATTATCTACTCTAAAGAATGTCTAAGTATATTCCACGATCTTTTTCAAAGAAGCCTTTCTATAAAATAATAAATAAAAGCGTATATTAACATTATATTAATGATAATGTATGTACATTAGCGTTTAGCAATTAAACAATTAACAGCAAAATAGAAATCTTTTTGAATGCAAGGACGAATACTTTTTTCTTCTTTTTTTTCTTTCTTCCACTAAAACTAAACCAATTTTAGATATATAATTTAGAATGTAATAGATTCGCCTCGCATAAGGATATTAGTTAAGGAAAACTGAATTTTTATTATAAATTATTAAAACTCAACTATTATCTATTAAGATTAAACCTGTAGAGTGGGGAGTAGGGCTTACGCGGAGCCTTGCTGCCTTATCTTAAGGAAACAAGCGCGAGTATAGGTTCTACCAAATTTTGAAGAGTATTGATTGGTCCTGAAAGGACACTCCCACATTCATTTCCAAAATATAAAAGGAGCTGCCAAAAGCAGTCGTCAGACAGTTATTCTTTTATTCAAGTCAGTTACATAGTCAGTTAGTTACATATTTAGTCAGTAATACATTCAGTTCAAAATTCAGTCATACATTCAGTTCAGTCGTACATTCAGTCAGTTATACATCCAATTTTAGTCAGTCATTTCATTCGTTCAGTTCAGTTATTCATTCGGTTTTTATTCAGTTATTCAGTCGAATAGTTATTCATTCAGTTATTCATTTATAGAGCAAGAGTAGAAACCTATCCAGTATAGACAGAATATTAATTAGATCAAGGTAAGAACTATCCTCGCGCTTCATTAGAAACATACTCTTATATTTCTTTTTCCTCATTATTCTGTTTTTCTTATTAAACGAAAATACTAAATATATCAAATCGGCTGAAACCTAAGTCTCTGCTCTGCGTGTCATTCAATTACATTCAAATACATATATATGAATATCCGAGAGGCTGTTACGACTGTCGCTGCCAATAGCGTGGCCTCCGTCTTATAGCACTTTCTCGGAGTATTCATAATTATCTCACATCCAGAAGAATGTTACGACTGTCGCTGCCAATAGCGTGGCCCTCGTCTTATAACACTTTCTCGGAGTATTCATAATTGTCTTACATCCAGAGGACTGTTACGACTATCGCTGCCAATAGCGTGACCCCCGTCTCACGGCAGTTCTTCGGAACATTGATAATTATTTTTGCATTACTTCCAGCCTACTAAAGGCGGACGAAGACAGCGAGAGAAGAGATTAAAATTTCAAATAAAATCAGCTCTTATTTCAAATCACGATCCTTTCCCCTATTTCCAAAAATTAGCGCAATTATTAGATAAAAAAAAACCGGTAAACTCACCCCGCGAACGCGTATATACTCTCAAGTGATTAAAGATCAATCTTACGATTCCGAATTACAAGAACATTCAAAAAGCCGATCCACGTAAATTCGCCTATAAGCTTCGTAATCTTTTTGGCACCGGATTCAAAATTACCCTTTCGAATAATTATCCGATACTTCCCAGTGAACATTCTTAATCGCACAACTTGATCTCCGATCCCCGGGTAAATTGCTTAAATGCATTGACTCAAAAAACGGAGAAAATCTCAAGAGCGTGACGTAATAATATATTATTGCATTATAATAAGTGGTTCTATAAGTTTTTAAGATTAAGTTTAAATGAAATACAAAAGTTTTTGGCCTATTTTTTTATTATGTTTATAAAAAAAAACCGTTTATAATATTGTTCAATCTGCATTTAAAGGTATATCTATATACAGGATGGGGTACCTAAAACAAAACACCCGAATATCTCGAAAATTAATCACGGTAGAGAAAAATGTTTCAGACAAAAGTTGTATGATTTGAAAGGGGACAAATAATGATGAAATCAAAAAATATAATAAAAAATATGGACAATAAGAGCATATACAGCGCGAATATTGGTACGCCAATTACTATATAAT